TTAACCCAATTAACAAAAATCATTGATAAGAGTGCACTGTTAACTCATTTACTCTCTGAATGATTGACACGCGATATCTTCATATAATTTCAAACCCTTCACAAAAGCTCACGAGTACTGAAATTGCAACATATGAAAATGGGTAAACTAGCTATAGGGGTTCAGTTGTGATTAGACGTGGACATGACAGAAAGTACTATATCACAATTATTTGCCTTGAATAGCACTTTTAAGGTGTGTGTGCTCTCTTATTCAAAATGCAGATGTATCTACTCTGTTGAGAGAGGTTTTTTCGACTCTGTAAATCCTTGTGGCTCCGAACAGCTTCGAAAATTTTTCCTGGGTTATGTATATGGAATGAGTTAAAAGCTTGAAAAGATTGTTGTTGAGATTATGAACAGGATTTAGAAGTTAAAGGAAAACTTTTGACCCCTCTCTTTATTGTCTGCTAAAGGATCTCAACATTATGACAGATGACCTGTCTTATACCTCTCCTCAGAACAGTTGAAAATGAGGTTCGAACAAAATTTTATTTTTAGAAATAAAAAATGTTAAAGTTCACCTAAACCCCAAATTTTTTTTTTCGCTTAACGAAATTTTTTTTTTTGGAGTATTTCTGTGCAAAAAATTTTTAATTTGCTCAAATCTTTAATTTTCTGTGCCCAGTCAAAATAGGGAAAATCGGCCACCATCTTGCCCCACGACCGAGTTTAAAGAGGAATGGCTCTAGCGGGTAATCTGACGTCAAATCGATAACACGAAAGTCTGCATTTCACACATTTTCACTTGTTTGGGAAGGTTGTCGTCGATATTGTCCGAAATATGTGAAAAGCACATCTAGTCATTTCTTACCACGAAATGCATAGCGATAGGTAGCCTTTTAACTGCATGCATTTTACTTTGGTGGATCCAAACTTTTTATTCCCTGCTCTTGAGAATGAGACGTCCCCTAACCCATCAAGCCCGGTTATTGATGTAAAGATATCTGATTAAATAATAAAGTTGAGAGGGTGCTATGGTTTCTTTACTCTCAAACCATCTCTAGCCTCGTTTTGTTCGCCAATGATAACGAGGTAAATTTTAGCTGGAAGAAATCTGCGTTCGAGCTTTGCAAATGGCGAAAAGGCAAGCAAGTGGTGGGCAAAGCTTTGACTTAGGACCTTTAAGACTTCTGACTTAGGATTTTAAACCAATCAGAGTCAGCTTTTAATGAAATTGAAAGGTGCTCTAGTTTAGTCATGGAGTAAAGACCCAATCAATAAGTGCATAATGATTATTAATAGTTATGTCAATATTCACATCAGCATAACTGTTTTGACTCATGCAGCTTGCTTGTGTTCTGTCGTTCGTTTGTGGAAAGTTTTACCAGTCTGGCTGATAATGAAGTAAGACGGTTGAAGATGTGATGTCGTGAACAAGTTATGCATAGGGCTTGATTTTCATTGGCTCTAATGTTTCGAATCAGGAATCATTTCTTTATTGTCATCGGTTTCTGTGCCACGTTGATATTACTTAAGGGCTAAGGGGTGTTCTAGGAGAGTAAATGGGCACTCGTGCGATTGGGCAGAGATATGTCTAGTTCTGCACAGGAAAAGAGCGAACGAACTGAACTAGCGAAACAGATATCCTCTTTAAAAGGTTATATGAAGTCCCTTAATGCGGCTAGAGCTGCATAGAGCTGGAGCTCGGACAATCCATGAAATATTAACTTATGAATGTGTTACTTACAGGTGATACAACTTGGAGCTGTAATTGAAGACTCCAGGTGGTAGCTCCTTAATTTGGTTATCCCTCAAAGACCTAAGAAATGGAATTTACCTAATTTAAGATCTCTCCTCGATTCCAAGAGCTAGTCGATGTCATTGAGTCCTTTTCACCATTTTTTGTAAAAATTAAGTTAGAAAACTTAATCTGGGTATGTGTCAAAGTACCATTTGAAGAGTGTTGCGAATTCTCTTAATGGACAAAATGAAGCAAATTAGTTGTCACATTCAGTGCATCTGATCAAGATTTTGTTCTTAATATTCTTCCCCACCAAGTTTAGGTTTTTCAAACTTCTGAACGATATTCCAGACAGAACCCTGCTTTACTTAATTGGAAATTTCTAAACTCAATCCTAAAAAAAAACATTGTTTCACTGCAAACTTATCTCTTTTGGAATTAGATTACTTTGTTCAAATAAAAAAAGAGCGGGAAATGAGTGAGACATTCTTCCTTTTAAGGATTGAGTATGGAAATTTCCAATTGATTAAAGCCGGACTAGAGAAGACCGATGCATATTATCCATGTCTGAAATAATTTTATTACATCCATCACCGCCGCCCGTTTTACCTGTCACTTGCTCACAAACATACGTTTCAGCTTCGCAAAAGGCTGTTATTGGGAAGCATTTGTCGTAATTTGACCTATTAGCTGTTTATTTGCAATTTTATTCGGTGAAACTTCATTCTGTTTAAACCCTATCCGAATTTAACGTATTGACTTGCATTCTCATAGAGAAGAAACGTTAGTCAACTGTCTCACAATACAGAAAGCACGCGCTGAACATCTTCGAAAAGCGAAAGAAAAGAAAGACGTCGTTGGTAAGCACAGTTTTTAAATAGAAAGGAAGTTCACTGAGAACTTAAACCGAGAAGACTTCAAATATGTGACATTTACCTAAAAAGCCAGGTGCGAAGAAATAATGAATTCTGAATTTTTGATCGTAATGGTGGCCGTCCAGAAAAAGTTTTGCTTAAACTTTCTTTCGAGAGGAGTACGATCAATAAAAACATTTGCTGTCAGATGCAGTTATTCACCATACAATGCACGATTATTAAGTCTAAAGCTCGTCAAACTGGATTGTTAATGATTCAGTCACGATTAATAACCCTACTTTCCGCGATTTCTAATTGTAGTAGAACACGCTTTGCGACTAATAATGGCAAGAAAAGCCCTTTGCGATTAATACTCTTAATTTCAGGACTTTATGCCAAATAATCATTGAATTTTCCTCTCTGCAAATCAAATTTTAATTTTAACTGTTAAGTTTAACATCATGTCTAATGTTGCGTGCGCACTCTGTTTAAGTTTCTGCATCGCACTTATCGCAGGGATTGTCATGTTAAACTTTTCATTAAAGACGCATAATTTAGTTTTTCAGTTGTTCAGTTCAGTTTCGACCAGACTAATTAGTTATTGTAATTGCTCACGCGTTTTATGCCTCATATATACCTTAGTTACGGAGGAGTCAAGGTAGAAGTTTTAAGTTTATTTAAGAGACTTAAACACTTGTAAGGCCGATTGCAAACGTAGCATCTTTGTACTTTAGATCAAATTGTGAGAATAAATACGGCTTTTCCTCTTTATTAGGTCTTTGGTCTTCTGATCGAGAGACAATGGCTACTTTTTGTGCAACGGTGGCTCTATTTAAATTAAATATCAAGCAGTACTTTTCGTCACTAAAAAGCACATCGAATCATTTCTTACCACGAAATGCATAGCGATGGGTGGCCTTAACTGGTGGCATTTTACTTTGGTGGATCCAAACTTTTTATTCCCAGCTCTTAAGAATGATAAGTCTCTTAACCCATGAAGCCCGGTTATCGGCGTAGAGATTTATGATTAAATAGTAAATTTGAAGCGGTGCTACCGTTTCTTTACTCGCAATCCGTCTCTAGCCTCGTTTTGTTCGCCATGAGTAACAAGGTCAGTTTTGGCTGGAAGAAATGTGCGTTCGAACTTTGCAAATGGCGAAAAGGCAGGGAAGTGGTGGGCAAAGCTTTGACTCAGTTAGGACTCTTAGGACTTTTGACTTAGGATATTAAACCAATCATAGTCAGCTTGTAATGCAATTAAAAGGTGCTCTAGTTTAGTCATAGAGTAAAGACCCAGTCAATGACTGCATAATGATTATTAGTAGTTCGATGAATATTTACATCAGCACAACTGTTTTGACTCTTGCAGCTTGCTTGTGTTCTGTCGTTCGTTCGTTCGTGGAAAGTTTTACCAGTCTGGCTGATAATGAAGTGAGACGATTGAAGATGTGATGCTGTGAACAAGTTATGTATAGAGCTTGATTTATATTAACTCTAATGGTTCGAATCAGGAATCATTTTTGTATTTTCATCGGTTTCTGTGCCACGCTGATATTACTTAAGGGTTATGGGATGTCCTGAGGGTCTGAATGGGGTTTAGTGTTTAGTGTTATTTGCCCATACCTTTTAGTTTTTACTGTTAAATTAGCCATATTTTTAATCTTTACTGTTCTTGAAAAAATACTGTTTAGTGTTTGAAAGGAAATCCCAAAGTTCTTTCAGCATTTTAAAATTTTATCTACTCTTTTAAATACTGCTTGAATATCAAGAAAATCACTCACGAATAGTGAGCCAAAGCTGAAATGTTCTTGTCTACATTCTGGGGAGTACTGGGACGAATCAGTGTTTAAGAATGTAAAGGAGGGAAACGACGGAAAGAAGCGAAACAACAAAGAACAATGCGGGAGCCCTGCCGACTGGGAGCAGTCCGTTAATTTGATTCGTTATAAACCCATGAAAGTTTAAGCTTGTTAGCTTAATTGGTAGAGCACTGCACTAGTGTCGCAGAGGTCAGTGGTTCGAGTCCCGTACAGGCCTGCTTTTTTTTCAGGTCTGATTTTCGCTATTGCATAAATAGCGCTATCTACTACGAGGATCGTGCATCATACGTATCTATTACCGCAGTTCAAAATATATGAACTTCATATATTTATTCTATCTCATGTATCTCTTTTTGTTTATAATGCAGATACCCCAAATGGGACCATCTCACAAAGCTAACCAATCATCTTGACGTATTCATACAACGGATGACAATCCGTAAATTGCTTAATTTTACTGTTTATTTCGATGTTCTATCCCATTGGCTGTTTGATTTGAATATCGTAATCTGATTTGTTACTGATATCTTCTCTCTAAGTGGTCAAGGTTAGTGTACTGAGCTCGGACAATCCATTAAATATTAATTTGTGAATGAGTTACTTACAGGTGATACAACTTGGAGTTGTAATTGAAGACTCCAGGTGGTAGCTCCTTAATTTGGTTATTATTCAAGGACCTAAGAGATGGAGATAGCTGCATTTAAGATCTCTCCTTGATTCCAAGAGTTAGTCGATGTTATTGAGTCCTTTTTACCATTTTGTTTGTAAAAATTGGGTTAGATAACTTAAACTGGGTATGGGTGAGAGTACCATTTGAAGAGTGGTACAAACTCCCTTAATGAATAAAAATGTAGCAAATTAGTAAACTCCTAACGTTTTTAACACACTTAAAGTGCTTCATATAAAACTTCTTTTAAAATAGAAAATAATTTCAAATTTATTTCCAGATTCTTCATCAAGTGGCATGTTGGGAGCGCGTCAAAGTTTAGAATAAGAAAATATGCAAGGGACTGCAAATGATAAACGCTGCCAACGTGGGATCTATGAAAGATCTAATCAGCCAAAAAAAAGTTTGATAGACTATAAGAAAGCAAAGCTGCTACCACGTGAGAAAGGTCTCGAGACACCAACGCGACAAGAATCGATAGAGCAGGATCGCAACAGTGGACAGCGCTTTCGCCCTTGTTGGGACTCGTCAGCACTCTGTAGCGAAGATATGTAACGCTAGCCAAGGAGCCAACTCACATAAATCGCAAAATGACCCGTACACAAAATCAAGGCACAAAACTTTTGTGAAGTCCCTTAATGCAGCTGAGGTTGTATAGAGCTGGAGTTTGGAGAAACATTACTTAGATCATTTTTTTTCAAATAGCCGACTTTCTTCAGTTCAGCATAGGTATTCATGGTTTGCAAAAAATCCAAATCATTCAATTATTTTTATCATGATTACTCGAGTTCAGGGAAAAACCCCATGGAAAGTATTCCTATGACTTGTTTTGCGATTAAATGAGATAAGTAACGATTGAAATCGCATTTCTGGTAAATACAAGGCCGTGATTTGAAGATTAAGGTAAATTTGTCCTTCAGAACAGCTTTTTATAGGTATCGTAGTTGATATTATAACCTTTCACTGGGTGATGATTTGGGTTCAATAAATTACATTAATAAAAAGTAAACAGTGTCCCTTCAACAACTTTTTTGAAAGGTGTGGTACTGATGACAATGAGAATGGTATTTGAATCAAAATTTGGAATCGCGTTTTTGGTAAATGATTTGAGTCAATTCAGATGTTTTAAGCCTGTGATGGTATCAGTATTAGCCCCCTAAAATTTTATGTCGTGGAGCACGCAATGGATGTTTTTTCACGCAAAACTCTTACAGCTCTACAAATCAGATGAATAAATCATTGTGCAGTTTTTTCGATGTTGTTTAAGTGTAAACGTTCATTGGGGTTTGACATGGTTTTTCTTTTTTTTTTTCTAGAATAATTCGTTGTCAAAGGTCATTAAGATGTGTTTGCTTATGAAAACAAAATAGATGTCCTCAAAGAGCGGAATTGGTCACCTACCATGGTTAGAAATCTTATTCAGGTATCCAGAAACTGATGAGAAAAGACACTTGCCTCTGTTCAACTCTTACGCTCTAACAATCATGCCACTCTCTTTTAATCGCATGTTAAGGCTATCAGAGACCCTTAAACTTAAACACTTTAAGACCCAGCTTTTAACAAAAACTGTAGCTTTACAAACTCTTTCTGATGCAAAAACCAAAGAAGGAGCTTAACAACGATGTTAATGAGATTGCACTGTTAATAAAGAGATTTTGAGGTCATATTCTAAACAATCCATCAAACATTAACTCATGAATATATTACTTACAGGTGAGTCAACTCGGAGTTGTTTTTGAAGACTCCAGCTGGTAGCTCCTTGATTTTATTTCCATTAAAGTACCTAAGAAATGGAAATAACTAAGTTTAAGATATATGCGTTATTAACCAAGCGTGAGGTCAAGAGGGCTGGATATTGGCCGAGTTCTGTTTTTGCCTTTTTTATTGACCGAGATTTTAAACAAGTGCCCAGGCGTTAATTCGAGGAAGTACGTTAAACAGAACTAGTTGATTTGGTTTGACAGAAGCCATGCAACTTCTCAAGATATGATTCCCTGATAGGACTATTACATTTACAAATAATTCAAGATTTTTGCAACGCAGTTTGACGCATTTACCCATAAGTAATTATGCCGGAATCATGCTCGATCTTCTGACAACAGCATTATACACAAACTTATGCCGGTATAATTCATCCGAGCCTATCAGTGACTGTCACATAGCTTCAGTTAAGGTCTTTCAGATCGCACTATGTTTACTGCTCATCAGTTCTGGATCTCGAGGACTCTTTGGATCTCCAGACTGCGAGGCCAGTCTCCAAATGTTTCTAAATATACTAACTTTAAAATCATTCTCAGTATTACAATTTTCGCCCAAACACATACTTATTTTATTGAGTGACCGTCTTTTCACTCCTTACAATTGGAATGTTCTCTGCCTAGCATACGAGACAATCGTTGAGACTGGGTGTATATCATCCCCTCAGCGAATAAAGTAGCACGTGTCTCTGGGATTTGAAAAGAAACGTCATGCAATCTAATTTTTTTTTAATTTACTCAGCTCTTTGCTAATCTCCAAAACCGAAACAGTCATGACGGACAAATTCCAAGAATCAGCAATATTGTTTTAGTAGGATTGCTGATTTGAGAAACCAAAAGGCTGCAACTAGTATTTCGGTAAGGACAGGTGTCAATCAGCCGCAGTTTAAAAACCACGCGTCAGTGTATTAGAAAGGACAATGGAGTTGCCGGTGGTTTGGATTCTCCATTTCATAACTTCAAAACGCTTCCCTACGAATTTGTTGCTGGCCAGGACGATCGCTGAAAGTGCGAGAAACACTCGCACAAATGTAATTCAATGGTAAACTCTGATCTTGGAGGGCCGGTCTAAGATTTCAATGAATGTCACTGTCAGGTTACATTCGTACGGCACCCGAGCTAAATTATTTCTGAGATAGTGATCAAGACGGGAAAGGAATTCACTAGACTGAAACAAATCGGACTATTATCATGTATTAAAGTAGCTTATGAATTCCATAAGGTCGTCTATTTGAGGTTCCATTTACCTTAAAAAGCAATTATTTGGGTCTCGTTCCAATCTAAATATTGTCAATAAAATCAAGAAAGCCGTCGAAGCTCTGCGTAGCAGTGTAAGTGTTTTCAACAAGTTCTTTATCGAGTTCAAATGATGTTTCGCCATAAATCGCCGTAACATGCTGTGCGCTCTTTTTCATATATTGTCTGAGATCCTTATGTCGCGGTCGACATATACCGAACAGACGGTCTGGTTATCATTTCTTGTGATAGTCATATCCAGTGTATGATTTCAATCAGTGATCACCTCTGGCAGGTCTACGTTCAATAAGACATGGCTCTAGAAACTACAAAACTCGGTCAAAATCACCTTTTTGATATACTTTTTACGCACCAAACGAGAAACACGATGTTTTTTCATCGGTTTCTCTCGCCTTGATGAAACCTGAAATAAGTGCCAACTTTCTTGACATAAAGTGGATTGTTTTCAGGCAAATTTAACTATTGGGATTCAACAATCCAAAACAACCAGGCGCTAAACTGTTGCATAGAGTTCGTACTGCAAACGTTTATGGTGCAGACTTTCTCGTCTTCGTTTGGTGGGGAGATAGGGTTTGTGAAAAGGGACTGGGGGGATGGGAGCGGGGATGTAGAGCTAGACCGGCGGTGTTTTATTGCTCGCCGTGCGATGACTTTTTTTCTCCCCCGACTTTATATTTTTCATTTGCAAGTAGGGGAGTTTTGCCCGAAACCACCTCAGTCCTACCCATTACTCGCCTGGATGTCACAGCTGTAAATAAAGAGTTACGTTGGTTGGTACTTACAGTTCTTTGAGCCATGCAATTCTTTTCAAAACTACCAGGGGTAAGTTGAACTGATTATAAGACAAGTCCCTATCAACCAGAAATCATTTCATCAGATGGTTAGATTTACATTGTTAAATAATGCTGAGAACTTTACATGACCCTCGCCGGGTGGAGAAGGCGCAAAAAGTTGCTGATTTAATTTTCACTTCAAAATAAATAGTAAGGATAAGCCCTAACGTTACCAAATATCAGTTAACTATGATTTCCTATCTCATCTGAGACAAATAACATTGCTCGATTAGGTTTCAAGGAAGGGTTTTCGATTAATATGAAGGACTCTCCATACAAGTAGCCATGATAAAACTCTTTGGTAAAAGTATTACATAGACAGATAATTCACGATTTCTCTAAATCGGTGAAAATTTAGACTTTTATGAGTTTTGAGTTATCAAAAAAGAAAAAACTGTATGTCAGCGTAAAGGATGGTATGCCACTCACACCAATTAGATTGCCGCACTTCTGGTGTATCACAAACCAATCAGATTGTCTCATAGGGGTATGTATCACGTGCCGATCAGATTGCCGCATTATTGGTGTATCACAAACCAGTCAGATTGCCGCATTAGAGTATGAATCACGTACCAACCAGATCAGAGTACTAGGGTATACTTGCACAAATCAGAATACTGTCCCTCATGCCAATCATGTAAGGAACTTAGGGTACCACAATACGTTGCGAAGGAATCAACCCAACTTTGACACACGTCAAGAATAAAATTAACGAGAATCTTGAGCTCATCTAGCTAGTGTAATGGTTCCTCCCCTTCGTGAGGACTTTTTTCGCTATGATTGGTCGGGATTAGAAAGGCCGTCAGGCCGAAGTTTTTCTACCATTTGCAAGTTAAAACATGTTTTATAAACCGGTCCTTTTCATCAATGATATCCGATTGTTAATCTTGTTTTTGCCTCCTGGTTGCTTTCTTTGCAAAGGTTGCAAAGACCACCAAGTTATACAGAATTTCTGCGTGGACTGCCTTAGTAAATATCCGTTTCTTTGCTTCTGAAAGTTCTCCATGAATTAGACGTTGTACTTTCCAGCTACAATTATGTTTTTATTTTCTACTTGCCACCATGGACTAGACTATCTCAGATAAAATGCTATTTTCCAAAAAACATCATTGGCTTTATAACACATTTTTCTTTTTTTATTTGATTTTTCTTTAATGAAGGTCACTTTAGTTATTCATATAATATGACTATGCCCAACGTGAACAACTGGTTCTGAGTGGTCCAAGCGAGTTAAATATTAAAGCAAAAGACCACACTTTCTATCAATCGGTACACTGGCGTAAAAACCCAAACGGGAAAAAAATTCGTAGTGGGGTTTACGTCAGCGGTAATAAATTAAAGAAAATTTATGCCCTCTAACTTTTAAAATTTTCTCAGTCTTTGCTAGTCTTCAACATTAAAGTGGAATGGTCAAGACGAACTAATTTTGAGAATCGGGTAGACTTTCTCGCCGGAATGCTGATTTAGGGTTACTGTCAACAAGATAGATTGCCCGGAAAATTTTTTCCCATGTTGCTCTTGTATAGAAGGAGCCCTGATACCTGTATACATAAAATTAGAGCAGCTAGCGAGCTAAAAAATAATGATGATAATAACAACAATAATAATGATAATAATAATATTAATGGTGGCAAGTAGTGCAGACGTGCTTTAACTTTATCCGTTAAATTAAAGTCCGCTCCTATCGAAAGTAAGCCAAGTTCAGAGCGCCAAAGTATATTGCGAGAAGTGAATAGGACACTTTGCTGTGTGTCGAGCTGTTTTGTTAGACTGTGAGGTGTCTCTGAACGGGAATTTTCAGCTACATTTAATTTTGTTGGATTTGTAAGTTGGTTTATTATGTTAGAAGGACGACTACAACACCAGGCAGGCGGAAAGTTGCGGTGGAGTGAGCAGATGAACAGAATTTTATTGGAGTGTAAAAAGATGGCCTTGGAACTGGTGAAGTCGGACAACCCACCACGGTTGGAAAGTGGGAGAAAGGTGGGTTATATGCAAGCGATGCGTGCTCAGTGGATAGAGAAGGGATGTGGTAATTTGGCTTTGACTAAACAGAATTTAAGGGATCAGGCCGCCAGACTCGAGAAGTTTCTCGGTAGAGTTGTAGATACGGTGCGTGTAGTGATCGTACGAGGCGAGCCAGCGCAAAGTAAACCGAGTTTATTAGAAGATTTGAATCATGATGATATCACTGCTCAGATACGAAATGCTAATTTGCTAGAGAACAGGACTCAAGTTACTGAGCCACGACGAGAAGAGCCTGCAAACAGGCCATTTTACAGTTGTGTACTTAGTTGCCAAGCCTTTGATTCAGAGTGAGGTTAAAGGTAACCTTGTTGTGATAGAGACAAGTATCTAGTTAGCATGATAACAAACTGATTTACATTTGAAAAGCAGCAAGGTTTGTATCATAACAAGGTCACCTCTAGCCTCACTACTGTTCAAAGGCTTGGCAACCAAGCACACAGCTGTAAAAGGGACTATTTGCATACACAAGATCAGTCTGAAGAGATGATGAACACCTTGAATGATTCCCAATGGGAGCTGTTGGAACAATCGTCACTGTTACTCGCGTTAGTAAACACGCGTGAGGGTGAATATTCAAACCGGACCATAGATTCTTATCAAGAATCTTATTAGATTATATAGAATCTTATTAGATTCTTACCGGACCATAGATACGCGCATAAAACAAAAGCCAACTAAAAGCGACCAAAAGTCCATCAATAATGTGATCACTGTGCTAATGGAGCGGGAAAAAGCGACACCTACGGAAAGTCCATTCATGTATATGTTTTAGTTCAATTTTATACTTGGTTGAAATTTTATTTTCCTTTCTTCTCGGTCATGTTAATGTATGATAATGAGTTTGAAACAAAGGAAAATAAAATTTGAACGAAGCATAAAATTGAACTACAACATATATATGGCTTCCTAATTGTATTTTGTACTCTGTAGTAGGGGCATTTCTCCTGTTCAAAAGATGGAAAAAGAACCCAAACGACAAAGCGACAAAGGAAATTCAGGGTAGCCGAGTGAGAACTAGAAAAGAGCTTATTTAGAGAGTGTTAGAGATGGGAGAAAAAAGATTTCTAAAGCAACAGCTGAGTTGGAGAGGCTAAAGAAAACTGGAATTTGAACAAAAAGGGAAAGAAAAACCGCGCCCTTTTGCAGAAAGAATGTGGTTTGTTGAGAGCATCATCCCTTGTGAGCTATATCGAGGGGCAGAAGTCAGTGCTTCGAAAATTGAAGGCTAGTTTTGGTGGAAGGAAAAGGCAAGAAGAACCCGAAGAACTAAACAGCAAGTTTACAGAAGAGTGCCCTGGCTGCGTATATACAACTATCACAAAGATTGCCGCGGAAGAGCCAGGCAATGCTCGATCTAAATACAAGAAGGAATGTGAAGACCAGGATAGAGTAAATAAGGGTGTGTTTAGTGACATTACTGAAGCCGAGGAGTTTTGGAGAACGTCATGGGAAGAGAATGGGTCTGGAGACTAAATTTCTGAGTGGCTTCATGAAGTAGAGATTGCATTTAGTGAACGTGTCCCCCGTCTATAAGAAGAGGCTTGGGGCTTAACAAAGGTGGAACTTTTAAGATCATATTGAAAAAGAAGAATTGGAATGCACCAGGCCCGCATAGGGTGGTAAACTATCGGTGGAAAAGCGCATACTCACCACACGAAGGCATGGTATCTGCGTTTAAACAAGTTGCAGATACCTCAACAACATACCCTGAATAGTTTACAGAGAGAAAGACTAGTCAGTTACCGAAGCTAGCCGAGTTCACAAGTGAAAATCGGCGCTCTATCACGTGCCTCAATACATCATACAAGTGGTTTACCTCAGCGTCTTGGGTCCAATGGATGAACACGTGGACAAGGATGAGCTAATGGAAAAGAGCCAGAGAGGAACGAAAGCGAAATGTAGTTGAACTACTGATAATCTTATGATAGATCGTATGGTTACGTTGGACTGTCATGGAAACGAGCGTAACCTCAGTGTCGCATGAATAGATGTGCGCAAGGCATGTGACTGTGTTGACCATGATTGGTTGAGGAAGATCATGTGGCTCCACAAGGTTCCGGAATGGATTTGTGAGGTTGTCAGTAAGTTGTGCGATAGCTGGAACACAAAGATTGCGGCACACACCATGAAGGGAAACGGGCTGTCACCACCCATACGGTTCAACAGAGGCCTCCCACAGGCGGATGCGCTATGTCCGAGCCTGTTCACTCTATGCATTAACGCTGTTGTGTGGAAGTTAAGCTCCGCTTAAGGGTACAGGCTTTCAAAGCCTATTGCGCCCAAGGTCTCCAATCTCCTCTACGTCGATGATCTTAAGGTGTTCGAGGCGTCTGAAGGAAATATGAACAGGGTGCGGACGATGGCGAAAACAGTGATGGAAAATGTAGGACTTCAGTGGAACCCAAAAACATGCAATGTCTTGCACGCACGGCGCGGAGTAATGTCTGAGACCTCTAATGGCTTCACTGATGGTCAGGTTGCAATCAATTGTTTGAAAGAAAATGCGCAGTATCGCTTCTTGAGAACAACGAAGCTCCTATTACAGGAGGAGAAACTAGCTCTAGACATTGCAGCTCGTGCTTACTTACAGAGGTTATCAGTTATTTGGTCTAGCCCCCTCTCGGATAAGAACAAAATCACGGCCACCAACCAGCTTGCATTGCCGGTGTTGTCATATCTCATGTGGTCTCAGCAATGGTGTGTAACTGACCTTCGTAACATCGTCAGAGAATATCGTAAAATCATCTGCGGGAATGGCAGGAAGCACTCACTTAGGTCAATTGACCTCCTGTACCTCCCTAGACACCCGGGGGGGGGGGGGGAGAGGGTGTGGTGTTAAGTCAGTGGAGGCTGAATACAAGCAGACTAAAATCAAGTCAGCTGTTAACTTACACGGAAACGAAGATCTTACATGGGCCTAGTGCACGCTTTTGAAGAATAGTCTGCTGTTAAAGGGCACAGGTCACTCGTGAAGGAGGTAGGGAAATTGC